CCCCGCCTCCTGTGGCCCTCCCCACACACAGAGTAGGGCTGTTAACGCGCCTCTCCCCACATTCTAGCCTCCCATTCACCTTAGGGTCAGCATGGCCCCCAGGATTAGGACACGGGTTTCCCTCCCTCCCTCCCTCCAGGTGTACCTTGTAGAGCCCATAATGGTTTTTCGTCACCGCAAAGATGAGGTTGATGTTGTTCTCCGCCAACTTCTCTCCCAGCAAGGCGAGGGATGGGTAGTCCTAGGTCCAACACAAAAGTCAAGTTGTGACACTTCTAACAGGTGAGACACTGCCAGCTCCAATGTGCACTCAGTCACTCACCGCCGGCCATGAAAAGCATCTTCCCCTGGCAGCCCCTCCACCACCCAGCTCTGGCGGCTGCGGTGGCTTCCCCTAAGGACAGGTGCAGAGGAGACCCTCCAGGAAACTAGATCACACTCCCCCGACCCAGAATGGGGAGGTGATGAATGGCCGTTTCCCATACCTGGCCCGTGTTCCCATCCTTTCAGCAAGGAAGGGGCAGAGTTGGGAGGCCCCCAAAGAACAGCCACCACATCCTCCCATCTACCATCAGCACCTATCACCTTTCCTCTGTGCCTAAGACCTTTCCTCTCGATTTCCCTGGCTCACTCATTCTCCTTTACGTAGGCCTCACGCTTGGGCCTGCCTGTGCCCCGACCCCCCGAGTCCTGCTGAGTCCTGCTCATGGCTCAGAAAGGCAGAGAGGCTGCTGACCTCTGCACCAAAAGTTAGGCGATGGTGGGGGTCAGTGGGGGGGCGGGTGGTGGGATACAAGCTGGGAGGGTGGGAGGAAGCTGAGAGGCACTTTAACAATGTCCTGAAGGATTTTAAGGGCTAATGACGGGCACAGGGGCCCATTTCAGCTCTATAGTTACCAGGTTCTACAGCTAGAAGTCCTTTTCCTAGACCCCATTATTCGTGGGTAATATGAAGGCTTGGACACTGGCCACCTCTTGAAACTGGAGAAAATGGGCTTGTCCAGCAAAGAAAATTAGAAAGAATTCCTTTCTAGCCAGATACCAGAATGGATTCGGGAAGGAAGAAGGCATAGATTATTTTTTTAATTGAATAGTAATTTAATTGAATGGGTCTTGGTAATTATTGGTCTGGGTGATGGGAATGTGGGAATCCATTTTGCTGGTCTATTGATCATTATCTATGTTTGAAGTTTTACATAAATTCTTTTAAATTGCAGGGTCCTGGTCGTAGGTCACTGGGAGGGGAAGGTCCCTGGGGCCTCCCATTCCACGCAGGACGCCCCCTGCCCCCTCCTGACACTGATGGAGCCCAGTGCTCAGAGCTCGCTCCTAGAGTCAGGAAGCTTTGGCTTGGTGTGTCCTGTAACTTCCATCCCAGCTTTTATCTCTGCAGGAGCACAGGTCCCGCCCTCCTCTAAGATCACCTCTCCCCTCTGAGCTTTATCCCGTCTCCCCAGATCACCCCTTCCCTCAGGGAAACACTCCCACTTGGGTGCACAATGGCAGAAAGATGACCCAGTGGCAGAAAGTGCTCCCAGTCAAAGAGGAGTTCTGGAAGCCCCGCTGGGGAAGATGGACTAATGAAACCCAATCCCCATCAAGGATGGGATGTCTGTGAGCAGAGGGCCAGACGAGGATGTCACTGCCAGGTGAGCCCTTGGCCAGGTGACCCCGGGCAAGGTCACGGGCGGCACTGGGACCCAGCTCTCACCATCTGGTTGGATGCAGTGTACTCGTTGGCCTCGTTCAGGTGGCACTGGCCATCGTGTGGCTGCACCAGGCCCCCCAGTTTTCCGTCCAGTGCGATGTGGGGCACATCGTCCGTTGTGAAGACCAGCAGGTGCAAGGCGTCCTTTCGCCAGCCGATCTTCTCCTGAGGAGCAGAGGGTGGGTGACTGCAAAGTCTTTCTGGGCACTACCAACGCCTTCCCGGAGCTTCAGACAAGGCACTGGCCCGTCTCCAGGGGATATGGTCTAAGTCAGAGGCACTCCCCCGTGTACTGGGGACACTGTTAAACACTGGAGAGGAACCCCCAGAGCTCAGAAGAGACACAGCCTGGACTGGGGAACCCTAAATGCATGGCTCACATAGGCCCATGTGCCTGGAACCCTCCCTCCAGCCCATCACACTCCTCCCTGCCCCTTTCAGTTTACTCCCGGGGCTGCTTCCCCTTCTAGCCTCACCTGTTATGCCTTCCCCAGAACAGCCTTCCTCCCAACTCTCACAACACACTTGGGCTGGCTGGCTTGTCTGAGATGACAAGGAAGTAACACCTCAGTTCCCAGATTAGACGGAATCGCTCAGAATGAAGTGCTCAAATGACCGACAGATCTGCCTTTAGAGCAGTGGTTCTCAACCTGTGGGTCGCGACCCCTTTGGGGGTTGAACGACCCTTTCACAGGGGTCACCTAAGACCATCGGAAAACACATATATAATTACATATTGTTTTTGTGATTAATCACTATGCTTTAATTATGTTCAATTTGTAACAATGCAAATACATCCTGCATATCAGATATTTACATGACGATTCATAGCAGTAGCAAAATTACAGTTATGAAGTAGCAACGAAAATAATTTTATGATTGGGGGTCACCACACATGAGGAACTGTATTAAAGGGTCGCGGCATTAGGAAGGTTGAGAACCACTGCTTTAGCGGATTTGGTAAAATGGGCCGTCCCTCCATGCTGGCAGGTGTAAACCACTCCCACCACTAACTGGCCCACTCTGGTGTTTAGTTCACTCAGATAAGCTCTTTCCCCCTTCGCTGCTTCACTACAGGGAACGCACCCACGCTTCCGCCGAAGGCACAGCTCAATGCCGACTGCACTGCGATGGGAGGACTCTGCTTCTCCTATTTAGCCACTTGCAGCCCCAACGCTACACAAAAACACTCCCACTCATTATTGGGAGCAGCTACTGGCACAGAGAAATAAAAACTGAGGTATGGTTGCCATCTTACTAATCTTACTTATCTAAATGAAAGGGCATCCCAAAATACATTGGTAGCAGGGCAGATGTATGAAGGATTTAAACACTGTTGAGACTGGATACCGAAATGAGGACTGACTGGACTCACGGACTTGACAATGAAAAGCTATTGCTCTTACGGCCGCTGAGGGGTTGAGGGTTTCTTCCTCTCTGTTTTTTCACCTTAATGATGGATAAAACAGCCTTCCAGAGCTGTGGTGTTTTCTCACTTGCTCCGAAAGCAGCATGGAAATAAACAATTTTTTTTTTTTTTTTAAATCGTGGAAAGTCAGAGTAACATGAGGGAGAAAAGGGGTTTGAAAAAAAAAAGGTGAGTGAGGACAGAAAGCCAGGGGCCTACTATGAACAAAGAACTTAACCTTTTGGGGAATCAGTTTCCTTGACTTTCAACATTCATCCAACATATAATTACTAACATCCTACCTGTGGGGACCTAACAGAGGGTGGTGGTGAGGACACAACAGTGTGGAAGCTGAAGATGAGCATTTGAATTTTGCTGCAGCCTGAATTACCTGTGCAGCTTTGACCAAATGACTAAACACCTCAAAAGCGTTTTGCTTATCAGTAAAATGGGAATAATAATACTTAACATTTATTGATCACCTCCATTATTCCATTAATCTTCACTGCAACCCTTATGAAGTAGGTAGTATACGTAATGTCATCTTGTAGATGAGGAAACTGGCGTTCGGAGACATTAAGTAACTAGCCCAAGGTAACTGAACCGGCAAGGAGCCGAGAGGCAGATTCAAACTGCTTATCTCTTACCCACAAAGCTGAACTACCCAGTCACAGAGGGAGAGAAGAGGTGTGTGTGTGTGTGTGTGTGTGTGTGTGTGTAATAAATGTGACAATTCATGGAAGTACATGGTAGGTTCTCAACCAATGACTGCCAGAACCCAAGTTCAATGCTTGTTGGATTTAAAGGTTGAATCTGAGATGGAAATAGCTCCACAAATGAAGAGTGGCCCAGCATAACAATAATAAATCCTGTTTTCTCCGAAGTGGCCCTGGTTATGTAAGTGATGTGAACAGACTGGGCCCGGACTTGGACGGCAGAGAATGAGTCAAGGCAGGCTTATTTATTCGGCCAGGCTTTGCGGCTTGGAGCTCTCACAAGTGGTGACTCCACAAAGAATTTACATTCAAAATAATTTTCCTCCCGTCTGCCTGGTCAGCAGAGCTGTCTGTTTTCAAGTCTTAAAGTTCTGTATTCCGTGTTTGGGGCAGAGGGCAATAGTGGAAAAATACACTTTTTATTTTTGTAAAAAAAGGAAAACACATTTAAAAATGAAGTGTAGCATAGAGGCCAAAGTATGTGGGCTCTGGAACGGAGGAGGCTGAGTTCAACCTTTGTTCTGCTCTAACTGCGAGGCCTCAACTCAGCCTCCTCACCTCTCTCAGCCTTTAGTTCTGTCACCTATAAAATGGAGACAATCCCACTTTGCAGGGCTGATGCTAGAGTTAGACATAATGCATTTAAAAGCACTTAGGACATAAAAAGAACTAAAAAAGAACTATAATTATTACTCTAAGGCTAGTAATAATTCTCACATTTCTTCTCTTGGTTTACTACTTGATATGTGAGGCTCCCATTGTTACAGGGACTAGGAAGTGTTGCATACCAAAGAGTTCATTAAAACCACAAGAGTCCACCACACACCTGACAGAATGGCTAACATCAAAAAGGTGAAATGGGTGAAGCAGAGGGAGGGTCCGAAGGTACAAACTCCCAGCTATAAAATAAATAAGTCGGAGATTGAATGTACAGCATGGCACCTACAGTTCACAATATTGCGTTGCATAACTGAAAGTCGCTAGGAGAGTAGCTCTTACAGTTCTCACCACCAAAAAAAAAAAAAAATTGTAACTGTGTGGTGATGAGTGTTGACTGGATTTGTTATGGTGACCATTTCGCAATATATACAAATATCGAATCATTACATTGTACCGCTGAAACAAATACAGTGTTATGTCAATTATATCTCAATTTAAAAAAATAAAAAAAACTAATCCCACCAAATGTTGATGGAGATGTGGAGGAAATGAAATGACCATACACTGCCAGGAGGGGTGTAAAATGGCACTCGTCGCCTTGGAAAACTGGCAGTTACTTAAAAAGTTAAACACCTACCAACTGACCCAGCCTTCCCCCTCCTAAGAACTGGCCTATGAGAAATGGAAGCACATGTCCAGAGACTCGAATGCACACATTTATAGCGGCTCTCTTTGTAATAAGCAAAAACTATAAATATCCAAAAAAAACCAAATGCCCATCAACAGGCAGATAAAGAAACAAACTGTGGGACATTCCTACAATGTAATACTTCTCAGTAACAGAGGGAAAGAATGGAGACTCTCCACAGCACAGAGTAATCTCAAAGTAATTGTGCTAAGTGAAATAAGCCAGGCCAAGAAAGAGTCTATACTGTATTTAGAAAATTTTAGCAAATGCAAACTACGGTGTAGTGATAGAAAGCAGGTTAGCAGCTGCCTAGGGTAAGGGGACAGGAGGTGCAGGAGGGAGAAATGGCAGAGATATGTTCATTGTCTTGACTGTGAGATATATATATATATATCTCACAGGTGTGTATATATGTCAACACTTCCAAACTGTACACTTTCAATATGGGTAGTATATTGTAAATCCATTATACCTCAATAAAGGTGTGTGTGTGTGTGTGTGTGTGTGTGAGTTTAAGAAGGCTTGGTTTGCTCAGAGAGCTGTTTAAATACAACAAATCACATGAATAGACTGAGCGTTAGTAATGTGCTGGGAAAACCACTCATACATGTTCTTTGTTCTGGGGCAGCATCCACACAGCAGTCAGGGGCCTGGGCTCAGACATCTGGCAAATCCCCGTTCAGCCTACATCTGCCTCGGCTTGTCCTTATGATCTTAGTGATCCTAGGCCAGTTACTTAATCTCTCCCAGCTCCAGCTTCTCGGCTCTAAGGAGGAGATGATAAGAGTACCCATAAAATAGGGCTGTCCAGAGGGTTAAACAGAATGATTTAAAAGAGCACCCAGCTCAGCACCTGTATATGTTAAGTGAACAGTCAAGATTGACAGGTTTTGTCTTCGGTGTTGAAAATCTATGACTTGAGACTGCAGTCCAGAAGCACACAATCTTAAATCTTATCTTTGGGTTGCAGGGTTATGGGTGATGTTTATGCCCTTTCTGCGTACCAGCCTTTTCCAAGTTTTAGATTAAATATATTCTCTTTTTATAGAAACAATTTTAAGAAAAAAATTTTAAAGACCTAAACTTTTCTCCATGCCTCTGATTAAAAACAAAAATTTTAAAGGCCAATTAAATTCAACGTGATAGAGGTCAGCCCTCAGATGAAAATGTCAGGGGTAGGCGGGATGGAAAGCCGCTGGACTCAAGTCTGGCCAAGGCTGCAATTCACTCAATTTCTCTTTGTTCACTGGTCACATCTGCATCAAATTCACCACAAGGTCTGTGTCAGCCTTCAAACACTCACTTTCCACACTTGCTCCAGGAGGTGACTTCGCTTTTTCCGTCACCAACAGAGAGGAAGGTAGCAGCACTTGCCTTTTGCCTATTCTGGCTCCACAGTCCTGGATGCCTCGTAAATAAAGGGGCCGCCTCCTGGCCTCTCCTCCGATCTTACTGAAGGAGGGCTCCTCCCTCCGCCAGGAAACGCAGCCCCTGAATCCCACCCTCTTTAGAGAATGTGTACGATGGTCAGTCTCTCTGCTTCCTTTCCTTGTGCCTAAAAATCTGCTCATAACCGGCCCTGGCCAGGCAGCTCAGTGGGTCAGAGCATTGTCCTGATACGCCAGGTTGTGGGTTCATTCCCCAGTTAGGACACATACAAGAATCAACCAATGATGCATAAATAAGTGGAACA